TTAGCAGACAAGGAGTTTAAAGTAACCATAATAATTAGGTTTAAAATTTTATAGAAAAAGATAGAATGGGTGAACATATGGGAATTTTCAACAAAGAAAAGGAAGCTCTAGAAAGAAACTAAAATTCTAAAATTGACATTCATAACATCTAAAGTGAAAAATTCACTGAATGGGGCTTAACAGCTGACTGAGTGTACCAGAATTAAGTATCAGGAAATTCAGGGACATGGCAAAAGAAAATATCCAAATAGAAGAAGAGATAACAAAAATGAAGAAACAAAGAGGAAGACAGTGTCAAAAACTAATGGGACAACATCAAAAGTTGAACATATATGCAACTGGAATCTTCAAAGAAGATGAGAGAATATTTAAAAAAATATTTGAAAAGAAAATATTAGCTAAAAATTTTCCAAAACTGGTTAAAAAATTAATCCATGGAACAAAGATGTGCAGTGAACCTTAAGCAGGATTCATACAAAGAAGACCGTATCTATGTTGCCGTCAAACTAATAAAAATCAAATATAAAAAGAAAGTCTTCAAACCACCACAGAAAAGACACATTTAGGGTAACAACAGTAAGAATGACAGCTGACTTCTTATCAAAAAGTGCTGAAAAATAAAGCAATCAACCTAGAATTCTTTTCCAGCAAAAATACACTTCATAAAATAGAGGCAAAATAAGGACATTATTAGGCAGGCAATAGCTAAGAGAATTTGTTGGCAGCAGATCTTCACCACAATGCTAAATACAGTGCTTAAGACAGAAGAGAAATGATGCCCAGGTCTGCAGGAGGAAATGCGGACCACCACAGAGATCCAGCTGCAGTGTCCAGCTGTTGAGGATGACGAGGAGTTAACTAGGCACAAGTCAGGAGACAAAGGGGTAGGGAGGCATGCAGGGCACAGGAAATACATGGACAGAGGCCCTGAGGAAGGAAAAGGGATGGTCCTTCCTAAAGATCTACAGGAGAAGGGACAATAGGACTGGAACAAAGAAAACAGCCTGGAGAGTGGTGTGACCCAGTAGGGGCCAAGTCAGGAAGGATGCTATAGGCTAGTTTCCTACTACATTATAAGCTACTTTTCAAATCTACATCAATAGTTTCATTCTTGACTAAGATGAGCCCACTCTTTTTTTAGACTTTTGGAGTTAAATAAGTTTTCTATAAATTTCACAAGCACACTAATCAATAGCCTCAATAAATAATGCATCTTTAACTCATACTATTTTTCAAATTAATGTAAAAAATAATTTAAATCATGTCACTCTTCTGCATGTAGCCTTCCAGTGGCCTTTTCATCTGTTCCAAATGAACCTCACAATGACCAACAAGGACTAAAGAATCAGCTCCCTCCACATCTCTCCTTCCATTATTAACTCTCTGGCCTTATCCCTTCCTCTCTCTACTCCTGTCACACAATGGCCTCCTTGCTACTCCCCAAATAAGCTGGTACTCTCACCGTAAGCGCAAAGTCATCCCACCTTCACATGGTGATCCCCAAGGACAGAGGTCTTTGTTTTACTGACACATCCGCAGCATCTCCAAGTACCTGGCATACAGCAGGCTCTTCTAATTAAGTTGAATAAACAGAAGACCCAGAAAAAAAGTCCTAGCCAAAACCTTACAATCACTGGAAAGGGAAGAGAAGAAGGGAGGGAGGGAGGAAGAAAGGGTAAAAGAAAGGAAGAGAAATAGACAAGGAAAAGAAGGAAAAGGAAAGAAAAATCCCACAAGTTGCAAGGAAAGATTGTTGTACTTTTCATTTGTAAAAGATGAAGTGTGGTATTGTCTTTGAAATCCTACTCACCTATCTAAGAGTTACAGGCATGAGGGAAGTTTGTAGGAACTTTGAATCAGGACACTTAGAATCATCTTCCTGCTTAGCAACCTTGAGCCAAACACTCAACCTTCTAGTGCTTCCATTTTTATGTGTATTGGGATATTATCACTTATCTACCAAACAAAACTATTACAAGGATTAATGAGACAGTTTTCAAAATGTTCTGAGATTCCTTTCCAAATCTCATATAAATGACTTGTCAATAAATAATTAGGAATATGCACATTTATATTTATATTTATATTTATATTTATATTTTCAGCTCAGCTCAGTTCAAAAGTATTTAAGAAACTAATATAGGTCAGAAGTATGTTTAATAAAAAAAGTTAATTACTATGCCTCTAAAATAATCCTTTCATATACTTTGAATTACTTACTTTGGTTTCAAAAAAAAAGTAAAGGACTTTCCTCTTCATATGTTCATATCTGTGAACATGTTGCATATAAAACACCACCAGTCATGCCTGGTAATAATTTTTTTAAATCTCATAATGAAAAAGCAAAACAAACTTATTTCACATATAATGAATTTTTAACAGTCAAAAATCAGGGGAAAATCTTGTATTTTATTTTTCATATACTCATCTAAGAGCTTTTCAAAGAGCATGCTAAAAAATCTGCAGCATCAATGTATGTGCATACATCTTAGCTTATATAATAAGGAAAGATTTTAAAGTCAGAGCAAAATTGCTAGCTTTCATCTTAATAATCCTCAAAAGGGACAGAATCAACATCTAATTTTAAAAAGCTTGATAAGTGAAAAATATCTGCCTAGTATTTTTACTATGAGATGTATAACCTCAATATTACTGACTTTTATTATGAGTGATTAACAGCGCCTTTCTTGCATTTTCACATTTCAGATTTGAAGGCTTTCTGTTTTGAATTTGATGAATCCCCTTATACTACACTTCTTGCAGTTCTTTTAAGGCAAAAGTTTTCTTGTAAAACTATCTGAGAGAAAGAATATCTGAAAAGTACTTCATATACCATCTTAGACTCAAGTACAGAGCCAGCTAAATGATGGAAATGGAACTTAAAGGCAAGTGACAATTGGCACAATTTTTGGCATATAAACCACTCACTCACACAACTGAAATAACTCTTCAGAGAAAGGGCACCAATTAGTAATCCACCAGCAATTCCAGTGACTAAAACATTGTGAGACTCCAGAGAAGTTTCACTAAATATATGCATAGGTACTACCAGAGCAGATGCTTCCCCCCATATAAAAATAATATACTTTAGGGAACATTTCTTAAACTTGGACAAAACGGGGTCTGAAAATCCCACACTTTGAAAATAAGAATAAATATTAAATAACAATAAAATGGTTCTAGTCACTTGAGTTCTCACCATTATTTTACCCCAAACTGCTCAGTTTTACTGTATGCCTTGACTCAAAATGGTCACTTTTCTACAGTAAAGCCACAGTTACAGATGTAAATACGATCATCTACCTATTTCAGTAGAACTACAATTCTAATTCTAATCACATTTAGTTTACCTTTTCCTACGTAGAAAGTGGTATCTAAGCATGTTTAAATACACCAAGAAACTGAAATGTATCAAAAAGAAAACTTATCAACCTGAAAAAATGAACTGAATAGTTTGAATTTCATTGTTAAAATTTAAAAGACTTTATAAGGAACAATGTTCATTGTATATGAGTATAAAAATTATAAAAAAACCATAAGATCAGAAATTGATAACTTCTAATTTACACTGACAGTACCACAGCAGACCTTTCTGCTTAACAGACAATAGTCTTTAAAACTGCATCTTGGCTTCATATTTTTCAGTAATCCCTTTTTCCAACGTCTTACTGTGATTGTTCCTTTCTTCCACTGTTATCTGGTTATTTCCTACTTCTTAGGTGATTCTCATAGAATATATGTTCCAAATGTTTTATGGTCCACAGTATGGCAGTAAGCAGCATCCAGCCAAGAAGAGGCTACTAATTTTTTGTTGTTCAAAACTCAGACCAAACCAATTAATTGATATTATATTGCAATCATTTGTCAAGTGCTCTAATCTATAAGGCTCTTCTAGCTTGAAATTTCTGTGATTCTAAATACTAAGTATGTGTTAGTTCAATATCCATTAGTAACCTGCTAAATAATTTTTTAAAAAATTAAACCTTGACTCTAGATAATAAAAAAAAACTACTCTTAGAGCTTTGAACATGTACATATTCAAATACTACAGACATGCATAAAAAGGTTAATTTACTTTACACAAAGCAAGCAGACCTTTCTTTACTTCCCCTCATACAAAATTTACCATGAAAGAAAACTAGACAGAGATATTTTACTAGAAATTCATTCATAACTATGACTAAGTAGAAGGATTTCACTGGCACCCTGAATTTATATTAGAATTTAATCTAAACCAAGTTATTATTAATAATAATGCAAACTAACAATCACATAGCAGTTATTAGATGTCAAACATTGTTCTAGGCACTTTACACATGAGAACCCATTTAATCTCCCCAATAATCCCGTGAGATAGGCAACATCACTACACCCATTCACAAAGGGGAAAAGAAGACAAGTGAGATTAAATGACTTGTCCAGGTCACACAGCCACTAAATGGCAGAGCCAGGATTTGAACACAGGAAGCCTGGATCCAGAGTCTGTGCTTTTCCATGTTGTTCTCTTTAGAAAGCCTCTAGTTACATGCAAATTTATAGTTACATGCAAAATTATAGTTACCTGCAAAGGATATTTAAGAGTTTGTCGAAGTTTAATATAAATTGTACATAAAAACTATATAGTTATCCCACACAACGAAGTTAATTCTATTTATAGCTAGCTTACTTCTCTTACAGCTAAAACATGAACATTCACAGTTTTAAATTACATAGAGAATTGATCCAGACCCGCTATTTCTTTAAATCACTGAGATATATCACATAAAAGACATAATGGTCACAAAAGTTAAAATAAATGCTAGTGTTTAAAAATTGTAATCAAAGTAAGATAAAATATTTAAAGAATGCTACCATAAATTTAAAGAAATTGAATTTAAGGAAGACTCTTGTATTTCTAAAATCTCAAATTTAAAAAAATATGTGACCGACTACCAAAAGAAACCTGTATTTCTAGAAGTACAATCCCCTAAAGATTTTGAAAATATTTGTTGACTACCTACCTCTCCGTGATTAAAAAAGAAGCATAACACTGTAACCAGGCCTCCTAACCGGCTGCCGCTGGAAAAGAGGTCAAGAAAACACAACTCAAATTAACAGATATCCAGGTCAATTCTAATAATTTCCTGAAATAATGTAACATGATAAACTTTACAAGAAGTTTTAGCCACACTAGCACTCTACTATGCTTATTTACAAAATAGCTTATTTCCTCTGGAGTATCATTAATCAAAACAAGTTTCACTTTTTAAAAATAACTTTTTCATCTTTAAAATGTATAGAAAAAAACACAAACTGACAGGGAATAAAAAAATTCTTAATTGTCATGTTACTAAGCATCATGCAACATAGTCTTTCTTTTTCTTCTTAAGTACCACATATTTATTTATGTCCTTCATCATTTCTCCAACTATTTTTCTTGGGATGCAAAATATCCAATCAGGAACGGGGAGAGGGGAAGTGCAGAAAAGGGTTCTATGGTCATAAAGTGGGAACACATCCCACTGTCTCCTGCTCTTGGAAATTCACGAATGACACCAGCACATTACTAATTCAGTATTTACCAAACCTCAGCCCCAAGTTACTTTTCTGTAGAACATGCCTGGGGAACACTAATTCACAAATAAAAGTTTTACCTTTATTTGTTTTCAAAAACTTGTGAAGTAGAACACAAATACTGAAACATGACAATCAGGGGTATACCTCTAGCTAAGAACTCACAGTGGAATAGCTCCTAACAACTAAACCTTCATTTGTTCAGGTGAAAGAGAAATAAGTCCCCCATTCTCCATCAACTCTGGTTAGAAGCACCTGGGGAAGGCAAAGTATGGCTGTTTTAGGTTTAATCCATAATATCTTTCATCTTTACTCATCTTTACTTTCTTTAGCTCATGCTGCTTTCTCATGGTTTTACCCAAAAGTCTTTCTTCTTTCAATTCATCCAACAAGTATGTGTATAACACAGAGAGGCCTGGGAGGTAACAAAGACGCACATAGGTATTCCAGGCCATTACACTTAGCCCTGGGGATGTACGACTGAGGAAACGCAGAGGAGATACATGAGCTGGCAGGGAGAATCCATGCAGTGAGAGCACATAAGCCCTCCACACCTACCCCAGATCAGCCAGGAAGAGCTGGGTCCCCAGCACAGGGGACCATTCAGCCTTGGCACAGGAGAGTGAGGTTTACATGTTTAGTGGCAAGTAGATTACAGTGTTTCTCTAAGGGGTCAGGGGCCCGGCCACTCGCTGCTCAAGAGAAGAGGAGGCAGTGCTAAAGGCTGGAAGAAGGGAGTATCTGAAATACCACTTGGATTTAAGGAGAGGTAACAAGGGAAAACAGAAGGGCTGCAGAGCCATCCTTAAGGGATCAACTCAAGCTGAAGCCCACAAATTTATGGGGACACTACTGGTAGGATTGTGTGATTCTTCCCTACTGGTTATCAGCCTGGACTGGCACAGATAAAATACAAAGAGGCAAAGCAACAGCCTATTGGCCAAAAAGTGATGGAAATGATGGATCACAGAAATAAGAGGGGCAGACAGAGGAGCTACAAAGGAGAACAGGCCAGGAAGCAAAGTCAAGGCTCTTCAGAGGTGCAGCTTGCCTTCTTCGAAAGACCAGCTAACAGTCAACCCCAGGCTTTATTGCAAGTGATGAGACATTTGAAATGTCATACCGAGTACATCCCCACCACAGTGCATTACGGCTGATTCTCCCTAACACAGCATCTGATAAGTCCAGGTCCTTTTACATTTTGCTCACCAGATAGGTGGAGACTTTTTTTGTTACTGTTATTTTGATTTGTACTTCCTGCCTATTTGTACAGACCATCATTTTAGTGGGTTTTTTTTTTTTGACAGTATGCATTTTCTCTTCTGTGAAGGACCTGTTCACATTCCTGTCTATATTGGATTGTCTGTTTTCCTATTTAAAGATTAGGGTTGTCAATGTTTTGACTGTCATATGTGTGACAAAGTCTTTTGATATGATTTATGTGTATTCTACCAGGAATAAATTTTAATTTTTATATAGTTAAATGTCATGATTTTCCTTTATTTCTTCTACATTTCCTGCCTTGTCTGTGAAGGTCTTCCCTACCTCAAAATGATATGGTGTTCTAAAATTTCTTCTAGTATCATTGTATTTTACACTTAAATCTTTCATCCATAGAAATGTATGTATAAAGCCTGAATTCTGTACTCTGAAACAGGCTGCCAATTATGCTAATACCATTTGTCAAAGAAATATTCCTTTTCCCAATGAAATAAAACCCAGCCTTTATCATATATTAATTTCTTATAATACTAGAATCTGTTCTATTCTAGTAGTTTGATTTAGTTCTCTATTTTTATATCACAGTATTTTTATCACTGGAGCATTATGATAATTTTGATAATGAAAGTTCCTTACCCCCAACTACCTTTTCTTTTTCATACTTCTAACCAGTGGCCCCTCCCCAAAAAACTACTGGGCTCTTGATCAGAACATCATTAAACCTACATATAATCTGGTAAGAAATGCCATTTATATGGTGGTGCATTGCCCATTCAGTTGGATAGCATGTTTCCCTCATTTATTCAATTCTATTTTTTTAAATAAAAATTTTACAAACAAGCAATAAAAAAACCCCACAATACTTTAGGGATTTAATGTAAAATTCCCTTTTAAAAATGCCCTGGAAGAAAGAGAAGTCAAAATGGAAATTTTATAACTTTAGTTCTTTTTAATGGCAGAGTAAAGATAGGGATGGCGATGAGTGTAAAAACACAATGAGGGCAGAAAAATCACAAATCCAATTTCCTGGCCAAATCCCAGGCTGCAGTCTGCCCAAGAAGGCTTCCGCCCTCACCCTGTTGACTTAGAGACAGCGGGACTCTGAGGCTGGACGTTTTCCTAAAGGCAGGAGGAGTATGACAATACTCTTTTCACCAAATTACCATAAATAGCTTATGGCCCAGAATCTTCCATGAATATAGACAGCTTTGCTTAACTAACCAGGGAGGCAGATTTTTCAGGCATAGTTTTAATCCCTATATAGCTAGCAGGGGAGAATAAAATGTGCTTATCTATAAGGTGCACTCTGAATTATAATCATTATGAAACAATGTGACATCCAATTAATCTAAAGTAGTGTCCCCAGCATTTACCTCCCTCTCCTCTGATTTTTACACATAGGTCATTGTATTTTGCTAAAATGAAAGGATGTTGTCATCAGAATACTTCAGATTATTTTCCCCATTACAGCTGATATTTTAGCATTTCCTAGTAGTTAAAAAAAGAAATTTTGTAACTTTCTTCTACAGTATTACCACCAACTGTCAGAAAATATGAAAGCTCCTATTGTGCAAATTTTAAAACATTCTAAGCTTTCTGAACTTACCACATTTACTCATATATCTTTCATTAACCTTTTGAGCCTTGATTTCCTTAGATATAAAATGAGGGGGTAAGAATGCAAAGGAACTTAAAAAGTACTTTTCAGTTCTGTTCTGTTGTTTAATAATATAATTATTTTCTTTCCTACATCCTTTAGTGACATGGATTCAAGTCAATCATCACATTTTGGTAAGCTTGTTAATCACTAAGGTTTTAACTTCTATTTACCAAAGAATGATGAAACAAACATGCAAAGTTCAATATTCAAAGAGAAAAAAAAATGTAATCATAGTTAATCAAAATGGTATAAATAACTCTTAGAATGTGTTTTTTTTTTTTTGTATAAATGCTTAAGAAAGAGAAAATGAGTGAATTTGGAAATGACTGAATTAAGAGAATTCCAGTCATAAGTTCGAGATACAAGGCTTAGGCACCCTGCCAGCTGGATAAGAAATGCCCAGCAGGTAGTTTGAGCTGAGAGCTCAGCAACTGCCCCTAAATTCAGGGGTGGGCAGGGACACTTTAGAGCATTAAGGAAGAGACAGAAAATAAGAGTGAAGATAGAGAATGAGAATCAGGGAGGCTGAGCACAGAGCTCAGCTTAGGCCTCCCAGTCTGTTACAAATAACAAATTAATGCCTTTAATTTAACTGTTTCCTGGGCCAAGAAACAGAATATTTTATTTGCTAGACTGTGAACTTCCCACTTCATCACTGTAGCTGCCATAATGCCTAATGAGGAGTCTTGCCCAGGGCAGAGAGTGAAAAGTTACCTGAGGAAACATAAAAACAATTCAACCAAAAAGACTGCTGGCATGCATTTTTTCTTTTTTTTGGGAAACTTTCCATCAAACACATCACACCTCACATCATTGCTACCGTTGGTCACTAGCCCAGATGGAGGCTCCTGCTCATCAACACACCATGTGTTCAGTGGACCCTCTGCAGGGATCCCATAACCACACAGCTTGGCTCCCCATCCAGACCTTTTACTGTGTGCTCCAGAAGCTCCATTTCATGCTGAACAACGTCCCTCACCAGCATCGTCAACCTCTACCCAGATGCTTCCCTCTCCTCCTACCCGAAAACCTCAATGTCTTCTGAACACTTCCCCCATCACTCGGTCATGCTCCTATACGGCTGAAGGCAAGAGGAAAGGCGAGTAGTCGCCTCTACTGCCAACTTCAGACACTATTCCTGGACCCTCCTGCTCCACTGGGCTCATTTCTCTCACTTACCTCCTCACAGATGTTACCTCCCGACACTCCAGCTCATTTCCCATGATTCACAGCTGTCCTCCTCACAAACCTAGCTTCTTACCCACTGTGGCCGGATGCAGTATTCCCTGCCCCTCTCTGCCATTCCCTCTACTGCACTGAGGTACCTTTTTGAAAGTGATCTATTTTACGAATTTCTCTACATTTAATGTCTGCTGCGCAGTCTCACTGTGGCCACTCTGATCTATCCCTGATTTCTTCCTCCTCTTCTGAATATTTACCTTTCTCTGTCTCCATGCTGTTCTCCACTGCTTCTCAGCTCTTGTGAGAAAAGCCTGGCTGGTCTTTTGCAGACATGGCTAGTCATCAGAAAATGCCTTTTCTTCCACATGAAGAATCAACCAGTCAGAGTACAATGCTTCATCTACTGATTTTCTGTTCTTTTCTATTATCTTGTTTGGTCATT